TTGAGTTCCTCATCCGTTTAGGTGGTAAGCAGAGCACTGGGGATGGAGAGAGAGAGAGAAGGGAAAACAGCTGGGACTCAGCAATATTAGAAGGAAACAGCATTTTGAATGCGTTATAAACATGCAACACCAGATGGAAACGGGGGGGGGGGGAGGATTATATGCAATTTTCCATAGCGTTTTTTCATAGTACAGTATTTTGTTATAACAATTTAATTTCTTATTTATTTAAACTGGGTTTTTTCTGTGTGTAGGTCCACCCCAAATGTCGAAGCCATGTAGTCTGCATTGGGTTAAAATCTTAAAGAATGGGAGGGGAGGCAGCAAGTGTTCAAATGTTAAGCGGTTTTGGGTAGAAAATAAACCCCACTACATAGAAATAATTACGTTGCATGGGTAAGTAGGGACCTGGTGTTAAAAATACTACTTCTTGTTGTTGTTGTTGTTGTTGTTGTTGTTGTCAACCACGTTAGACAGATGACTCTTTAAAAAATCCTTCTGTTACCTTTCCAAGCCACTCCTAACCACTGAGGGCACCTGGGCAAATATTGAAATTTTACATAGTTCAGAAAGTAGCCATTCTGCAGCACGGAAACAGACAACCAGTGGAAACTGTAAACTGCTCCTCAACTAAGAAGTAATTTGCTAATGGCTTAGCTTACTTCTACTATCGTAATATCATTATCATTGCATCTCTGTGTTAATGTAAAGGTAAAGGTAAAGGGATCCCTGACCATTAGGTCTAGTTGTGGCCGACTCTGGGGTTGCGGCGCTTATCTCGCTTTATTGGCCGAGGGAGCCGGCGTACAGCTTTCGGGTCATGTGGCCAGCATGACTAAGCCACTTCTGGTGAACCAGAGCAGCGCATGGAAACACCGTTTACCTTCTCACCGGAGCAGTACCTATTGATCTACTTGTACTTTGACGTGCTTTCGAACTGCTAGGTTGGCAGGAGCAGGGACCGAGCAACGGGAGCTCACCCCATCACGGGGATTCGAACCGCCGACCTTCTGATCGGCAAGTCCTAGGCTCTGTAGTTTAACCCACAGCACCACCATGCTATTAATACAGATGCTAAACAGGGCCTAAACCTTATTAGATTCTACTATGCAAACTCAGTAAAGGGCTTCTTTGTCTGGAACAGACAGCTGTTGCTGTACTCTGTGCTGGTAAACCGATAGCTTCACTATTCCAGTTGCACTGAAGTTTTGTTGGATTGTCACTTTCACATGAAAAGCCCTTGTGTAAGAGACACCAATTCTCAAATTATAGGCGTGGATCAATTTTCTGTTAGGGATTCCATGCATTAACAGAAGAATGTTTCCCAGAAATAATGAGATAAAAAATGGAGCTTAAACTAGAGATGAGACAGAAAAGTGAAAGATTTCACCTCCGATATCCTAAAAATATTGGCTTGTTACATTCTCTAATTGCCAGCAGACATTCAACAACCTCCAAAAACAGTACTTGAACTGGAATAGTAGCCAAAATAAATTATGAGTTAAATTTTATTCAATGTACTTATTTTGATTCTTTAAAAACCCTATAAACAAGATCATTCTGAGCAATCCAAGTAATGCAGATACAACCAACATAAATGATACACAACAGAGACCCTCAAAGCTAATTTTTAAGGTGGCGGCCATATGTTATATAGTATAATATAACAAAAGACAGTGAGGTGAAATTGTGTTTATCTGTATGATCAAATTCCCCATAAGCCAACAGCATTTTTGCAAATTGCCCAATAAGTCTCCATAGCAGGACTTTTTAAAATTGTTGATACGTAATTCTATCAGTTTCTCAGTGAATTACAGTGAATATTATTACCCTATACCTTTAAAGTGGTTAAAGGAGATAAAACACGTGACTTTAGAAGCTATCTGATACTTACCAACGAAGGGAAGTCCGAGGCTCGGCAGAGCCCAAAATAACTGTGTAATATATATATGACTCTTGTAACAGCTATGTTATATGTAATTTATGTAATCTAGATTGTATATATGTATAACCAATGAAAAACCAATAAAAATTTATATGAAAAAAAAATAAAGTGGTTATCATAAAATGTCAGAATGACACCAACTGAATACAAGCAATGACTACAGAAAGGCGGATAAGGTCCACAGTTTGCATCACAATACTTACTGAGCATAATATTTTATTGAGTATGTTACTATCAAAAACCAGTGCAATTTGAGAAAGAGAATTTTAAACGGTGGATTCATGCTACCATATTTACATATCATAATTGAATTATCACCTGGTTGTCTGAAACATCATAATCAAAACAGGACATATGGCTTAAAACAACAACAGAAAATCACATTTTCAGTGTTTCTCTCCACCCCTCTTAAAAAAAAGCTTTATGAATTTTGCTACTATTTTAACATAGTAGCAGAATGCCATCTTGCAACATCTCAAAAGTGTGTTCTTGGTAGTGGCACCCACCCTCTGGAACACCCACACGTTGCTCATGAGGCAGAAACAGCAGCAGGCTTTAAATGCCTTCTGAAAAGCAAGTTATTTGAGCAGGTTTGCCTTGTTTCATAAGATTCATCACTTCACTGTATTTTAGGTATAATAATGTATCTAGCTTTTTCTTCTTCATAAATATCTTATTGTGCTTTATGTAAGTCACTTACAGATTTTGCATAGCAAGTGGTGTACTAATTATTATTATGAAGTGCAATATGTAAAAACAAGCACCAACTAAATAGAATTGTAAAGAGATTGCTTCTTCACAATAAACAGCATTAAATTGTACCATAAAACATGACCAAAATGTCCACTGTTATCATCAGATCATAACAACCTTAAACCTGGATGCAAGCAAAACAGCATAGAACATTACACGTGTTGTCATGCATTAATTTATTATCACTATTTTTCAGGCATTTAATTAGGCACACAACAGTAGAGAAATGTTTTTACCTGAATTTTAAACAAATGTGTTCAAGTGCAGAGAGAGAGAAAAAAACTTATTTGAAAGCTACTCAATTAGCATTCTTCTCTGTTTTTTGACAAAATTATTCAAATGTGTAGGTCTGCCCATGCCAAAATGTTGTAGCTGGTAAAAACAAAACAATGATAAAACACAAATGCATTTGTCCCTTCAGGTGAACTATGCTTTTTAAACATGTGTTAAAATTTAACATATATATTGACTATGCTGCTTATACTGAAAAACAAAACACTGCATTATATCTACAGAATCTTAGAAATGGTTTTTCAGTGTTTTCTAAGCAAGATAACAATGTTAATATTCATTCATTCATTCATCAGTCTGTATAAACTTTGACCTGCTAAGTGCATGTTCATATTACCTCTAATACACTGAACTTGCTGTCAACTTTGAACTTTACAACAAAAACTCTGCCATTTTTCCATTGATGGGTGATGTATCAGTTAACAATGGCAGCAGCTCAAATTTATAGATCTCTTGAAGCTACTCTCCATTTAGCAAAAAACCACGTATGTTCATCATACATTCTATAAACTATGATACAATGTCTACCATTCTTTTGAGAAAAGTAGATTATAAATTGCAGATTCAAACTCAACTTTTTCAGATTTTTTTTAAAGACTTTCCAGCAACATATAGCTACCATCTGAGCATATTCACAAAGTACGCTATCAGTCACATTGCAGGGAGGGGGAATTACCCGATTGTAAAAATCAATAGTCAGGATCAATCATGTGATTCAGAAAGGGGCACTTTCTTTTACAGAAATCTGAATGCTCTGTTGAGTGACAGACTGGTTGTCAAGAAGTGATGCGAATAAAAGTGTTTTTGAAGTATTCATGCGTGTAAGTCATTTGGGTTCCTGTTTCTCATCAATATGCATACAGGTCTGTGCCTTGCAAGGTGCATGTTTTAGACAAAAGCTGGTTTTATAAATCTTGCCTCTCTCTATGGTTATATTTTGTTAAATATTGAGATCACATTTACGTACCCATGACAACAACTTGAAAGTGCTTTCAAAATAGATATATAATAGTAGTTTGAAAGTGCTCAGTTGCAGCTTTTTTCATATAGCTAGTTATTCATAATTATTATCATTAGTCTTCCAAATTACAAAGTGATTTATTTATAAAATCAGTTAAATACATAAAACCACAATAAGGACCCCATGACTGGATCTATCTCAAAAAGACAAACATATGATGGTGTAGGTTACCATGTTTGCAGAATAGCTTTTCCTTAACAGTAATAAAGGAACAAGCTGGCTTGATCAGCTGCTGAATGAGAAGTTTTGAAACCCCAATATAAAATCTGTAACACACCGAACAGAAATCAAACATGTGAAGACCATATGAGTTGGACTACTGTAACACGCTCCACGCGGGGCTGCCTTTGGAAACTGTTTGCAAGCTTCAGCTGGTCCAAAATGATGCAGCCAGACTGGGACCTGTGACAGGCTGCATGTTAAAAAGGTAAAGGTAAAGGACTCCTGACAGTTAAATCCAGTCGCAAATGACTCTGGGGTTGCAGTGCTCATCTCACTTTACTGGCCGAGGGAGCCCACATTGTCTACAGACAGTTTTTCAGGGTCATATGGCCAGCATGACTAAGCCGCTCCTGGCAAAACCAGAGCAGTGCAGAGCCGTTTACCTTCCCGCTAGAGCAGTACCTATTTATCTACTTGCACTTTGACATGCTTTCTAACTGCTAGGTTGGCAAGAGCAGGGACCGAGCAACGGGAGCTCACCCCATCATGGCGATTTGAACCGCCGACCTTCTGATTGGCAAGTCCTAGGCTCTGAGGATTAACCCACAGTGCCACCCGCATCCCTTGAAGACAATCTTCCCGCCTTATTGTGGTTTTATGTATTTAAAACCTATTTATCTACTTGCACTTAGACATGCTTTCGAACTGCTAGGTTGGCAGGAGCTGGGACCGAGCAACGGGAGCTCACCCCGTCCTGAGGATTCGAACCGCCGAGCTTCCGATTAGGCTGCATGTTACTTCCCTGTTAAAACAACTTCACTAGCTACTGGTCTGTTTATGGGCAGAATTCAAAGTGCCAGTTATGACCTATAATGCCCTATATGGCTTGGGCTCAGGCCACCTGAAGGTTCTATCTCCCTATACAAACCTGCCCAAGTGCAAAGATCCTCAAGTGAGCAACTCCTCTAAGTCCCATCAACCGCGGAAACATGGTGGTAAGCCAAGAGCAAGCTTTTCTGTGACTGCTCCCAGATTGTGAACGTCATACCCAAGGATGGGTTAGATGGACTCCTCTATGTTATCTTTCTACTTGCATGCAGATGATATTGGTCACTGGGCTGCTGTCAGGACAAATTATATTTTAACTGCTGGTTTTAGATATGACGTGTTACATTTTAACCATTCATAAAATACAGACTAATAAAAACAACTCATTAACCCCACAATACTGCTCAGCTGATTTGAGGGATAAAAGGGCCTATAAGGGAGAGAGGGGCCTGATGCATTTGAGTGGGCCTGATGCAGAAAGTTCCTTGTACAGTGGTACCTCTGGATACGAATGGGATCTGTTCCAGAGCCCTGTTCGCATCCTGAAGTAAACGCAACCCGCGTCTGCGCGTGTGCAGGTTGCGATTCGCCGCTTCCACATCATTTTGACCATCTGCGCATGCGCGAGCAGCGAAACCCGGAAGTAACGCGTTCCGTTACTTCCGGATCGCCGCAGAGTGCAACCCGAAAGTGCTCAACCTGAAGCAACTTCAACCCGAGATATGACTGTACAGAACAAAATGGCTTGGATACAAAGAAGTGCAAGTGGAACATCACTACAAAACACACCTTTCTTGCTCTTTCCTCCACACTGCACCAACCATCCACCCACCGAAAAGCTGCTCCTAAGCCTTGATAGAACAGCATAGGGTGAGCTGTGTATGGCTTCAGCAGGAATTCAGGCACTGACAGAAATAGAGGCCACTTAGTGGAAATGGAAGTGTCTTTCTGCTAACAAAGGGCACCATCAGTTTCAAACCAACATTTGTATAGCTGAAGAACACCCACAAGAAGAAATAATGAAATCTCTTCTCTGCAGTGATGCCTCTGTCCCAGTCAGCCTGTTGACATGTGTGTTTACAGCATTTCTTCACAAAGGGGACAGCTTAACTTTTTCAGCTAGATATACAGAATTCTCTTGCCTCTAAATCGGGCCCATATCTGCTTAAGGCAGGAATTCCCACCAGGGGCTGTGTTAGAAACAAACTGGGAGAGAAAGGTATGTAGAAGAGATCAGGACCACAGATACAGCATACCTGCTTACTCAAGCACAGAAAATTTTTAGTACCCATGCATCCAAGCAACCCATCTATCATGTTTAAAGCAAGACAGAATGGCTGTTTTTACATGAGATTTGCTCCAGTCTCCCTCCACATCCATCACATTCAGAGAAACAGAAGCTGTCAACAAAGGGTTGATTTCAGCATTTCCTGTAGTGAGTTGAGTCACAAGGCTCTTCATGTATGTTGGCTAAGCTTTCTGAACAACAATAGCTCTGATGAATGAGAACAGAGAGGCCCATTACTACATGAAGCTTATGTGAAAAGATCTGCTTCCCAATAAATCTGTGCAGTAGCATTGATTGCAAGTGAAGCCATTTTTTAGCAAGTGAATGCAACACTTATGACAGATACAAGTTTTAATAGCAGCCGGGAATAGAGCATCTGTATTTAGCCCCTTAATGTTGCATGCAGGGCACTCCTTGCATTGCATTCTCCCACTAACTTTGATGAAGTTTTTTTCAAAAACAGTGCTATTGCTATACATCTGTAACTTTCAGTGACATTATCTATTCTTGCTCTAGTTATCTCCCGCTTGAGACTACCGAAATGTGCTCTACATGGGGCTACCTTTGAAGGTGACCTGGAAACTACAACTAATCCAGAATGTGGCAGCTAAGCTGGCCACTGGGAGTGGCTGCCGAAACCACATAACAATGGTCCTGAAAGACCTACATTGGCTCCCAGTACGTTTCCGAGCACAATTCAAAGTGTTGGTGCTGACCTTTAAAGCCCTAAACGGCCTCGGCCCAGTATACCTAAAGGAGCATCTCCATCTCCAACATTCAGCCCAGACATTGAGGTCCAGCTCCGAGGACCTTCTGGCGGTTCCCTCACTGCGAGAAGTGAAGCTACAGGGAACCAGGCAGAGGGCCTTTTCGGTAGTGGCGCCCGCCCTGTGGAACGCCCACCCATCAGATGTCAAGGAAACAACCAACTATCTGACTTTTAGAAGACATCTGTAGGCAACCCAGTTTAGGGAAGTTTTTAATGTTTGATGTTTTATCGTGTTTTTAATATTCTGCTGGGGGCCGCCCAGATGGGCAGGGTATTATTATTATTATTAATCATAATAATAATTTATTATTTGTGTAGTTTGGGTTGATCGCTTAACTTGTTCAGCTTTTAAAATGTCAGTGCCATCTTACAAGGCTGCCAAAGAACTATATATGGAAGCAAATACAAAAAGGTGGAGGCCGGCAGCCCAACACACACCCCTATGTTTTTCTTAGTACAATGGTACCTCAGGATGCGAACGGGATCTGTTCTGGAGCCCCGTTTGCATCCTGAAGCAAACACAACCCGCGACTGCGCGTCTGCACGTGTGCAGGTCACGATTTGCCGCTTATGCGCATGCGTTTGACATCATTTTGACCGTCTGCGCATGCATGAGCGGCGAAACCCGGAAGTAACACACTCCGTTACTTCCGGATCACCGCGGGGCGCAACCCGAAAGCCCTCAACCTGAAGCGTATTCAACCCGAGGTATGACTGTATTCTGAGTTACTGTCGTCTTCTTTTTCCCCAAACCACATGTTGCAGACTGTCCTTGTGCAAAAAGAAACAGAAACAGCTTTGCATGAGATGGATACCTTGCCAATTACTTTCGATTGTATAAATGCTAACAGACAACAGGGATTGCAGCCGACGTATTTTGTTTGAGCACGGTCATTAATCACAATCTAAGGTTGATGATAGTGCCTGTAAAACCGTCTTGATGCACAAAGCGTCTTTTAACTTCAAAGCCTTGTTTATCAGATGTGAATGAAATGAATGGAAACAGACTATGCATGAGCAAACATCAGGGCTCATGTCATTATGGAGAAACTGCTGCCCACTGCAGATTGTTGCTGCTGTAGCTATGGGAGTGAGTTTCACAAATATTGGATAAATTAATGTTGTGAACAAATGTATATGGAGGAAAACAGAGGGGGTGGGGACAACAAAATTTTAGGCCACTTGTGTCAGAAGGTAATTATACAACTTTTCCTCTGCAAGGAGAAAAATGAATTCATTCTCTGTGTTGCAGTTTAAATAAAATGCTGCGAGCTAATGTCACCTTGAGTAAAAAAAACTTTTTTAAAAGCTGGATTAGTGTGATGGCTAAGAAGCTGAGATGCAGATGAGAAGCTTCCTGATCCCAGTCTTAGGCAAGCCACTCTCAGCCCCAGCTCTCCATCCACAACATAACAGATACTGACCTTACAGGCCTGTTTTAAGAAATACAGCAAGATAATGTGCATTTCCATTCCAAGATGTATGGTGCTATCCTCTCTGTGATTTTTATATGTATAAATCAGTGAGCATAGCTGTAGCCAAATGAAAATTATGCTTCTTGCATTAATTCTCTGTTCTGCACACGATGCTACGCCATTGGCACTAAATAAATGATGTTTATTTTTTATTAATAAAAAATTATACCCTATTGTTCATAAAATATCATGCCACTGAAAATAACAACCACAATCATAGTAACAACCTCATTGAATAATTACAGGCATTTTTAATCAAACATGCAGTCTTGACGTTCAATATAAAATTTGTATTATAATGTTTCCTTCATTTTTTTGAACTGTTTTTCTTCTGTGCTGGGTTATGATTGGTTGACAGGTTGTGTCTTCGTGTGCCAGTAGTGTGGAAAATAGACATCCAAGGCGCATTGCACATGGTAATCTGGGTAACATGCCTGCTGCTTTATGTGTTAGTAGCTTTGTGAATATCCATTCACATTGTCTGGGGACTGTTTTAACTGAGGCAGATTATTAGCCTCCTGTCTTCTGTAGGGAATGAGGAGTGTTGGACACAGTTCTGACATCCCCTCCGGATCCCAAACAGATAATCAGTGCTGTCCCTGCTTCAGGTGGGGGGGGGGGAGAGAGATGTCCAGCTTTTTCCTTCCTTCTAGCAGATTAGCACTATTTGCAGAACCTGTGCTATCGCCATGTTGGGTTCCTGCAGAAAACCTGCAATGACCATTCGAATAGCAGGGATGGTAGTGATTCAGTTTTAACAGATTCTCATCACCCGCACAACTACTAGAAAATCAGGCGGGGCTTATAAAAGCAAACTCTTAATAACCTGAGGACAATCCTAACGTCAAGAACAGAAAGGTCAGAGAAAATCAAACAGCACTTCAAAAATATGTCCATTAAGTTATATAAAAACCATTTTAAAGCTAGACATTTCAATTCTTAAAGCAAGAGTGTCAGGGATGGTGATGTGGACCTGACCTCCCAAAACCAGCATCACTGCTGCTTACCAGAATGGTCCAGAGCAGGACTGGGCAGTGGCTAAATTATGGTTATTTGGGTGCACTGGTGGTAGCATTGGGTTGGCTCCAACAGTGTGCTTGGGCAGTCCCAGCCTTACTACTACTTTGCCCTGTTCTCACACTGTCCTGGTAAGTGACAGAAATGATACCCTGCTCTTGTTCTTAACCAAGGTGGAAATTTTAAAAAGATATATTCACTGCTTCTGAAGCATTTGCTTCCAAACAGGGAATGTGTCAGGGACTAGCTGGACGATGAGGAGCGGTGACAAGCGCCAGGCAGGGAACCCTCAGGGGAGGAATGCTCAGAGCCTAGGGATTGGTGGTGGGATACTAATGAGACGTCAGAGGGGGAAGCTTGGGAAAGAGATGCTGGATAATGAAGAGACAACAGACCCTCAAAATCTATTCTGGTAGTCAGGGTCCCTTCAGAGCAGATCGGAGGAGGCACTGCAGTGGTCAGGAGAAGGTGGTGAAGAGCCACTGAGAAAACGGAAGTTTACTCACATAGCACTGGATGTTGGCCATACAATTTAGACAACTACATACAACGGAGAACATACAAGTATAAAACTTTTCAAATGCCTGTAAACTTCTGCAAGTAGCTTTCAGACTCCACAACGAACAGTCTCCATTAGGCTCAGAAGGACACATATTTCAGCCTGTTAAGGCTCATTAGCATGTTAGCACATAAGTAATGAAGGGAGAAATATGAGCCAACGTGTGGTTAAGACTTTCACAGTTCTGGCTTGCAAAGATGAGAGTCAAAGCTGGTGACACCCATCTAGCCGCCCAAGCATTTCTGTTTGTTCTAGGAGCTGAGACAACAACAGCGACAGCACTTATAATTAATTGCTTTACTACTCCCTGGTGGTTTGGCTGCTGTGCTGAGCTAAGCCATGGTTTGGCTTAGCGTGTCATCCAAATCAAGGCTTGTGGTTTAGCTCCTTCCTGACAAGCTGCAAGTTTTAACCTTGGTCTGTCCTATGGTTAACAGCTTCTGGTTTGTCTGAGAGAGGTAAGCTACAAGCCCGCATTCAAGTTGACATGGTAAGCCAAACTACAATTTAGCTTAGGGCAGGGCACAGGCAAAATTATTGAGGATCAAAATGGCTGTGATCTCTCCAGAAGTCTGCATATCTGTTTGTTTACACTAAGCCATGGTTTGGCTTAGCATTAAGTGCAAACCAGGCTCAGTCGGTACAGCATGAGACTCTTAATCTTAAGAGTCATGGGTCGTTTGAGTCCCACGTTGGGCAAAAAGATTCCTGCATTGCAGGGGGTTGGGCTAGATGACCTTTGTGGCTCCTTCCAACTCTGCTTTTCTATGATTCCATGATTCTAGGAATCAAGGTACTGTGGACTGCTGCAAACCGAAATAAGCATTACAGTGTACCCTACATTCCCAAAGTTCAGAGAATGCATTCTTTCATTAAGACATTTTCATATTATGTACTGCCAGAGCAAGTAACATATTTTCCTTCCATACCTTCTTTCTATTCTTATACTAAAATCACTAGAAGTTGTCCAGTGGGACCTCCTGAAGCTGGAAATGCAATCTATGTCCCTTCTTGCTTGGCAGTAAATATCCAATTTGAAACAAAATAAAATGAACAGGCGTGAATGAGACTGTTTGGCAATTATACCTCAAAGCACTCATTTTTTTCCTTTTTTTTTTTAAAGTGAATTGCTTTTCAGGTTGTAATGGTGGCAAATGGAAACCAAAAGTGTTTTTCAAACCAGTCTGACTGAATGCATTGGATATAGATGGAGTTATCAACATCCAGTACTCCTTTTAATAAAATCCTCTTCTCTCACATTACAAAAATGGATCCACTAGTTACTTATTTAGTCTACTATTAGACTTTCAATAGATTATTTGACTGACAAAAATAAATACTATGGAGCTCTTAATTGCAAGCCTTTCAATAAAAACAGCAGTTTTTATTAAATAAATCATTTATTATTTGGGAAACCACAAAACACTGTTAAAACCAAGCTTTTTGTATCCCCCCCCTTCTATCCATTTCTCTCACAGGTTCAATTCAATGTACCTTTAAAGACTTTCATGGCCTGGGTCCCACATACCCTGTTACTTCCCCCACCCCCGGACACACTAGCTTCTGGCTTTGAGCATCAAGTCCACATAAGAATTTATTCCCTCACTTCAGACTTCTTAGCTGGGAGGGGGACACAAAACTCCCCCCACCCCGACAAACCCTTGAGTGATTTTGTTACTGCTTTATCTTGCTGCTGTTTTGTGTATGTGCATGTTTAGTAATTATGATGTGGTTTTTATTGGGAATTTATTTTACTGACTGTTTCTCTAGGAGGGCTTGGCCTGAAAAGTGGCTTGTACATAATTTCTGTTAGTTAATTAATTAAAACAACTATTACAGGAGAAGCAGGGGCTTTACATAAATTTCTCCAGTGCTGTGGTATGAACTTTCTGCACTAATCACCAGTCTTTAAGAGGGCTTGGCCTTTGGCACCTGGCTTTTGGCTGAGCTTGTTACTCTTTTCTTCTTGTAGGTTTTACAGTGGTATCATGGGTTACAAGACGCTTCAGGTTACAGACTCTGCTAACCCAGAAATAGTACCTCGGGTTAAGAACTTTACTTCCAGATGAGAACAGAAATCATGCTCCGGCAGCATGGCAGAAGCAGGAGGCCCCATTAGCTAAAGTGGTGCTTCAGGTTAAGAACAGTTTCAGGTTAAGAACGGACCTCCAGAACTAATTAAGTTCCTAACCTGAGGTACCACTGTACTGTAATTATGATGATTATGATGTACTGTACCGCGATGGGGTGAGCTCCCGCTGCTCGGTCCCTCCTCCTGCCAGCCTAGCAGTTCGAAAGCACATCAAAGTGCAAGTAGATAAATAGGTACCGCTCCGGCAGGAAGGTAAACGGCGTTTCTGTGCGCTGCTCTGGTTCGCCAGAAGCAGCTTAGTCATGCTGGCCACATGACCTGGAAGCTGTAAGCCAGCTCCCTTGGCCAATAAAGCGAGATGAGCGCCACAACCCCAGAGTCGGCCACGACTGGACCTAATGGTCAGGGGTCCCTTTACCTTTACTGTAATTATGATTATGATGATTTGTTCTGTATTTTTGAACAAGGCCTTGAGCCAAGCTTTCTCAACCTCGGCCCTCCAGCTGTTTTGAGACTTCAATTTCCATCATCCCTGACCACTGGTCCTGCTAGCTTGGGATCATGGGAGTTGTAGGCCAAAATCATCTGGAGGGCCGAGGTTGAGGAAGCCTGCCTTGAGTGCTGGAAAAGTGGCTAGCAAATTATTGCACTAAATAGTATACAACATCAAATGCCTTGATGTCCTGTTCTTTCTCATGCTTATAAAATTATGTAGCTTCCTGCACAGCTGACAAAGCAGAAATGGTCCTGTCAAAGCACTTGATTCCACACGAAACAGTTAAAAATGTGATTCTGAGTGAGTTTAGGACAATGACAGCTCTAAGAGATTGGAAAGTCAATAGCTAAATGCAAGCATTCCATTCTGTCTCTCTCTTTAAAAAAATGAAGCATTTTCCTTTGTAGAAAGGATGAGTTTCATTTCTACCTTTCGCAAAATAGTTCCTTCCTGTAGTACAATATAATATTCTTTTTGAAAGGCTGAAAAATAGTATGGGATAAAAGCCTCTTCCAAGAAGAAACCAGTACCATTCTTCAGCTATGTATGAAAATATTCCATTCAGAATACTATTGTTCCACAACATTTTTGTACATGCACATTTATTGGGGGAGTTAAAAAAAACACACAAAAAACCCAATCTTTTAAAATGAATTGGCAGCCAGACTTCAACTTTTTAAAAGCTTTCTTGCAAGTTAGAAGGAACTTGTGACGCTTTCATCTATTCCTATTCTGAACCCTACCCTAGGATATAGCAATGGAAACTTTATCCTAGCTGTCACAAGATATACAATATACCTTTTGGAGGTAACTGCTAAGCATGTCTTTACCACTAACTCTCCTTACCTCTGCATTTTGCACCTGAATATGTTCAGTGTTTATATAACAAAATGTTTATATAAAAATAAAGAGCAACCAGCTATGCATGTACTCCTGTGTTTTGCCCTGAGAATCATAGAATTGTAAAGTTGGAGGGATCCTATCAGTCATCTAGTCCAACCCCCTGCAACGCAGGCATCTCAACTAAAGCATCCATGTTTAAATAAATTACATATTAAACAGGTGTTCTGTGAAAGGATCTCCCTTTTATTTGAGGTTGAATCCTGACAAGAAAGAAGTACTGTTTTGGGGAGACAGGGGGCAGGCGGGTGTGGAGGACTCCCTGGTCCTGAATGAGGTAACTGTACCCCTGAAGGACCAGGTGCGCAGCCTGGGAGTCATTCTGGACTCACAGCTGTCCATGGAGGCGCAAGTCAATTCTGTGTCCAGGGCAGCTGATTATCAGCTCCATCTGGTACGCAGGCTGAGACCCTACCTGCCCGCAAACTGTCTCCCCAGAGTGGTGCATGCTCTATTTATGTCTCGCTTGGACTACTGCAATGCGCTCTACGTGGGGCTACCTTTGAAGGTGACCTGTAAACTACAACTAATCCAGAATGCGGCAGCTAGACTGGTGACTGGGAGCGGTCGCCGAGACCATATAACACCGGTCTTGAAAGACCTACATTGGCTCCCAGTACGTTTTCGAGCACAATTCAAAGTGTTGGTGCTGACCTTTAAAGCCCTAAACAGCCTCGGTCCAGTATATCTGAAGGAGCGTCTCCACCTCCATCGTTCTGCCTGGACACTGAGGTCCAGCGCCGAGAGCCTTCTGGCGGTTCCCTCGCTGCGAGAAGCCAAGTTACAGGGAACTAGGCAGAGGGCCTTCTTGGTAGTGGCACCCGTCCTGTGGAACGCCCTCCCACCAGATGTCAAAGAGAAAAATAACTACCAAATGTTTAGAAGACATCTGAAGGCAGCCCTGTTTAGGGAAGCTTTTAATGTTTAATAGGTTATTGTATTTTAGTGTTTTGTTGGAAGCCACCCAGAGTGGCTGGGGAAACCCAGCCAGATGGGCGGGGTATAAATAAATTATTATTGTTATTATTATTATTATTATTATTATTATTATTATTATTATTAAATGGATATTTTACCTAGAGTGTTTCTGTTTTGTCTAATAATTAAAGTTTCTATGGTGCTTTGCAATATAAACTATGGGCAGTATTGCACAACAGGACTTTCTTCCTCTCTCCTCCCCCTGCACGCCTCCAAAATCGACTCAGAGGGGTTAGGAGAACACCCAGAACAGCACATCATGGGCAGGGGTAGGAAAAGTAGAACCATTCCATCTGGCAACTGAATTGCTTGTGCTGATAGAAGAAGAATCAGAAGCGTGTGACACAGAGTTCCTCCCAGCGTAATTTTCATGTTCTAAAAGCATTCACAAGACCCTCAAATTTAGATCAAGACTGTAGCGCAGAGGTTTAGTCCTTTACCCTTGCACCATTTTTTCATTGTAAATTATTGTACCACCATCCACAAGGGAAGGCACAGCAACCTGTGTTTTCTTTCTCTCTCTCTCTCTCTCTCTCTCTCTCTCTCTCTCTCTCTGTGTATGCGCGCACACACACACACACACACAGCAAATTGAGCAACTGGTGGAGAAACTAAATCCCTGCTTCTGTGTCAGGGCCCTTATCCAATGCAACCACCACTGGCTGATTTTAGAAAAAGAGAAATTCTCGGGCTAAGCTCCCTTCTCTGTGACTTCTAGTTTTACACGTGGAGGGTATTTGGATTTTTATGCAGAGGGAGGGGGAAAATGGAAGTTATAAAGAAAATAAATATCTGAATTATATATCTAACTCTAAGGTTCAATGAAGCCTACCTATTACAGGTCCAGTTTCTGAAGAATAAGGGAAGCTATATATCAGCTTTCAAATACACACACCCCAAACCAGGGATGAACAGATCTGTAAAATTTTCCATTTTTCCAAATGTTCCATTTCCCCAAATTTCAGTTCAGTTTGCCCAATTTATGCACCAATCTGCACGTTTTTACTTTGTATGCATTTCTGTGCACATTTCTCCTAATATAAACAATTTTAATGCAATTTTGCCTAATACATGCATTTTTGAAAATAGTTTCCCTTAATATAACAGAGTTGATATATGCATTGTTCTACCCACATTTGGTTGGAGATCATAGTCACAAAACTAGAACTTGTAAACTTTAAATGTTACCTGTGATTTGGTTTGCTTATTGGTCCAGGAAGTGCAAATTAGGTAA